TGGTTAGCCATGTTTTACCTCCTTTGTGACATTTGTGACAGCTAGGCTGTACGCATGAATAAATATTTGATTGATCTGCATTTAGTGGGTTTTGGCTGTTTTTCAACTGGCGCGAGGAAGAAAATTTAGTGGTGAACAATAAAGACAATAGAATTTTTATCGGTCTGATAGTTGCCCCTTGGAAATTTGATGTTCTTTAAAATAGCATATTTTCCCTCAGATAGTGACTCTTGAACGTATTTTTGTGACCTGAATAGAAAGACATAGTTATTGAAGGGTGAAAATGGTCTATTTCGCATTTACTTAAGATTTAAGAAATAAAAGAAGGCAAAAGTCCTCGGTCAAATACTTATTTGAAATGGTTAAATGTATTTTTGTGACATGAAAGGCGTCACGTTTTCTCCGCAGGGTGAAAATAGTTTATTTCAAAAAATAGTAACTCTTCTTATCTTACTACTTTGCAAAATGAATAAAAATCCTTCTCATTAATTGAAGATTACTCCAAAATTCTCGTGAAAGTTACCTTTAACTTATTAGAAAATATATCTGCATTCTTTTAATTTCGTTACATCTCGCCTGGTTTCGTTTCGTTTCGTTTCGTTTTGCAAAATATTGTACTAGTAAGCCGTTGATTTGTTGTCCAATACGCCTTTAAAATCCATGGGTTTTCTTTGAACAATTACAAAAATTTACCAGAACATACAGTACCGCCTGAGAAATGATCGATCTGGTTTACAGTGCTGATTGGTGGCGAAATGTCCTCTGTAAAAAAGAAAAACAGATCTGGCTGGCTTATAATAGTGACCCGTAGTTAAATAGTTTTGTTGTATTAGGTCATACTTTTAGGTGATTGGATTTTTCCTGAGAGATATCACTCCAAACCTTCTTCTATTGACTTCAGTTAGAAACAGTAACTGAAATAATAAAACTTGGTGTAGAATTTAGCATTTTTTGCATTCAATTTCAGTTTATTGGCATTTCCTCGGGAATACGTTTTGTCTTTCTTTCCCGCGTTCGCTATAATTTACATGTTGTAATATTCTAGCTTTTTAGTTTCATCGTTGATTTCACCGAGAGAACATCTGGTTTAGTTGCTGTTTTCTCGCGGCCTACAGCGCCGATACAATGTAAGTTCCTCGTTATTATGTTCATCGCGTTCGCTTTAGCCGCCTTTAGGTTTTATATTTCTGCATTTTGTAAACTTGTATTTTTGTTGGTTCTTTATTAGTTCAAACCTCTTCCTCTATCGAGCGTTTGAGATCATTGCTGTAAGCGGCCACGAAAGGACATGCCTCTTGGCAGTAACATAGTTTGAAATTGTCGAGTTGATATGAGGAGATAATGGATATTGGCGCTGATAAAGCTTTAGATTCTGGTGACGGGGATGGCGTTCGACCTAGGATGCCGAGTAAACAACTGGATCAAGAAGGCGTTCTCCTCGAAAGGCTTCGCCGACTCAAGAATGAGAGATCAGGCTATCTTTCTACAGTTAGTGCTCGGAGGAACGAAATTGATGCGCTGTTATCTAGCGAGGAAAACGTTCATCTCGTAAAGGAAAAGTTGCCCGGCTTCCTAGCTGCTGTTGAAAGGTTTAAAGAAGCTCATCTAGCCTATTCGTCGAATCTTCAGGATGACGTTAGCGTAGCAAGATGTCAAGAGCAGTTAAATTCATAGTCTTCGCGGGCCGACCTCTTTTATCAAAGAACTCAACAGTGGATCAAAGGATCAGAGAAGCGTCTCAGGTTGAACTCTCAGGTCAATCCTGAAGATTCAGCGAGTCAGATCGGTTCTCGGGCCACAACTAAGTCCTCGTCAAAGAAATCACAACGTTCGAGTCACAGCGGTTCAATCAGGAGTAGTACGTCATCCTTAGCGTTCGCACGAGCAAAGAAAGCGGCGCGTATTGCTGAGCTCGAAGCGGAGGCGGCTGCACTAGAGAAACGACGATTGTTAGAGGAGCAAAGGTTACGTTTGCAGCAAGAACTGGAACGTCTTACACTTGAAACCGAACTCGCTAAGTCTAAAGCTAAAGGAAGAGTTTTATCTTCAGTTATGGAAGCTGTTCCGCGTCCATTTGTGCCGAATCCGATAAACGTAGAATCCAAGAAGGGTGGGGGAAAGGTTCAAGCACCTATTATCGGACTTGAAGCAAAGCAAGTTGGAGAAAATGGTCATTCATCAGTCGCTGTTGGTTGTTCTACTCTAAATCCCGAAGCAGCAGAATGGCATCAGCCTTCGCTAGGAATTAACAGGAATGAACGTGCTAACGAGTATGAATACTCTGGTGCGTCGACATCACCAAGTGAGAGGGCCTTGCACGAAATGCTAGGGCTGCATCACCGTCAAAACGCGCTGCAAAAACAGCAGAACAAAATCGTGGAAATGCTTGCGACTCAGCAGAAGAAAAGCAGTCTTCCCCAGCATAGGGTTCCTATCTTCGATGGTGATCCAATGGAGTATGGTGCCTTTGTGAGAGCGTTTGAAAACCTCATTGAGTCTAGAACCTCGAGTTGGTACTGTGAGGTTGTATTACCTTGAAGAGTTTACAAGTGGTGATGTTAAAGAACAAGTTCGATCGTGCCATCACCTTCCACCTGAAAGGGGTTATCAGGAAGCCCGATGGCTGATCGAAGGTTCCAGTTTTGTGAGGACTTGGAATTCTTAGGAATTTCTAGGAATTCTCAGCTGTACAAACTACCTTTAAGTTAAGAAGGGTGGAATTCTGAATTTGAAGCAAATTAAATAACCCTGAAATCCAAATAATTCCAAGAAATTCTCAATACCTTGAATGTGAAGGTTTTAAGACAAGGAGTAATTTTAGAGGCCTAAAACTTTAAGATTGGTTCAATAAAAGATATGCTAAACAAAGTGTACCAAGAGATGTATATACCTGTACATGTTTATCATGAAATCTATTATTTGAACTAAGTTGTAGTAAATCTTAACATGAATATGCATTTTTCATAAAGCAGTTACGTTAAGTGCAAATTTTCAGTTTAAATGCAATGTACTCATATCACAGATTTGCTTTCTAAACTCAAAGGCCACTTGGATTCCACAGTCATAAAAGTTTTTAATGTGATGCAAAATATGTCTCGTGTCCGGAGATGTGCCAAAATCATAAAACAAACATAACCATAAGCATGGGTCAACGCTTCGGAATGTGCACATGCATTCATTTGCAGGCAAGAATTCTAACGTACCATAATTGCTTCCTTCTCTTGTACAATTGTTTCTTCGTTATGAGACGCACTTGACTCTGTTGGCACCGCCGCTAGCTCAGTGGAAGCAAAAGACTGAGGAATCGAGATGGCAGTGTTGCAACGTGTCGCTGAACGCTTGTTACGATCCAACTTCGCCGATTTGGGCACTGGTACACTGTGATCATCTGGGTAGCTCTTATACTTCCTAAGGTGGTATCCATCTGTTCTAACAATGAGGGTAACACGTTTATAATCATGCACATTCGAAATTGTGATTGCCCTTCTGTTCTTTTTCACCTTTACCGTGAACACGACTCAGGTCAGGGTTTCGAGTCTTTGTTTCCTCGACAGCTTTCGGCCACAAATATTGCATTTGTAGCACGTTCGATTCGTCTCGATTATTTCTACGTAGAGTCAGAGTTCACATCATTATTTGGAGGATCTTCAGAACATGGATCTAAGGTAAAAACATCGTCTATCAGTCAAACCTTACGCGTTCTCTTATCACTGCAATCATTTAAGCCAGCGGATTCTCTTTACAAGCCAATATATCCACGTAATCTTACCCGTGATAGGAAACAAAGGAAATTCCATTTGGCGCTCATCTTTGAATGTACTTTTCATCCGTTGATCTAGCCTGCGAACAGGCTCCCGGCTTGGAGGAGCACAACGGCGCGAAGCAGGGGAAGGGGAGCCTGCACGCGTCTTGCTAAATCGCGTTTACCTCCCACAAGAACCCCGCAGAGAACTTATCTTGTTAACTGTCAA